AAAAATTATCTTTATGTTAGTTTTTGTCATTATACAATAGCAAAATGAAGATAATTTAATGTATACAGAAGCCGCAATTGATTTTAAATAGTACTTTTCAAATTGGGATACCTCTAGACCGGGAGGTGTAGCTTGGGTAGGGTAAGTAGGGCACATGTCCCGGGCGCCTTTCAAAGGGGGGCAAGCAAAATCACCATTTATTATTTAAAAACCAAAATAAACCACAATTAGCCAATTCATATCAAGCAATTCTTTCCGCGATTTACGCGCTTTACGAATGATGAGTAGTGCGCGTTGACATGCACTTGCGCGGTCACTTTCGACATCTTTGTATTTAAGAACTAGGTTAAGTTTTGTTTCTGAGTGTCGTCAGTTTTTAAAAAGGTTACAATATATAACAAAAATAAATGTAAAAAAGTTCTGGTTTTTTTTTTCATAAATTCTATCTTCTCATAACATTTCGTATTATTTTTTATTTTGCCCTATCTAAAACATTTTAAGCTCTATAGAAACTGTGGATTATGGAATGACTGACAATCACTAGAACATTTTATCTAGGAACAAAGATGTTTTACATTGTCGTGGCCTACACATGATATTTTTCTCAGCACTACGTACCCTTCCTTCTGTATGTGAAACGAATACGAATATAGCATATGTATACGATACAAAAGTAAAGTGACAGCCTATATACGTCCAACTGATTGGGCCTTCTTTTATTTCTGAGAGGATTATAGGGCAAGGAAATGTCCCCCGCGCTGGCCCAATGCCGGTTAACTAAATATTTTGTTATTAGGAACACGCTGGTGCACATACAATTCCTAATAAAAAAACTATGGCAAATATCGATTACGATATACGAAGAGATTCGCAATATGGCAGGTTTGAAAGATAACCTTATCACAAAAATTGATAAGGGCGTGCTTCGGTGGTTTGGGCACGTTGAGCGAATGAGTGAAGACTGAATGGTGAAGAAAATATATAGCGCGAAAGTTAATATTAAAAGGTGTCGAGGTAGACCGAGACTAACTTTCGAAGACCATGTGAGCAAATTGCTCGAAGAGGGTAGGGTCAAGAGTACTCGGATACCTAGACGTGCATGTATGAAGAAAATAATGAATCTGAAAGAAGCGAAAGAGGTATGTAAGGATCGTGACACTTGGCGATCTGTTCTCTCTGGCTACCCCGTCAGGGATTGTGCGTGAAGATAAGTAAGTAAGTATGGCAAATATCCCCCCCCCCATAATGGGTGGCTATGTTTAGTAGTAGATAAGCTATAGCCGTAATCTGAAAGTATGGAATGCCAATATACAAGCTTTAGTTAGCTTAAAATTACGTTGACGAGTAATTTTACAAATTATTTTATTATCTTTATAAGTGTGTAGCGAGAATAAAACTACTTTTACGGATTCTATTGCGTTTAATTATTTTTTTTATTATTGATTCGCGACATTTCGGGTACTTTACAACACCCATGGTCATGGGGGACTGAGGATTAACATCGCGATGTCAGAGTTAACTCGGAGTACCTTAGCTTTTTTAATTATTAATTTTGGTCCGATCTACGTAGAATGAACTTACTGTGTCTTGAAGTCTTGCAGTGAGTGGTATGCTTGGGTTTAGTTTTAATTTTATTAATTACAGGATCCCAAGCAGGTGGTAGCACCTAGCTTTCTTCTCTATGTTGTGTATGTTTTTTAATTTCAATAACCTCACGTATCTTCCTCGGCATGAATCGATGTACTTTCGCGAGAATTTGTGGTTTATCAAATCTTATGTAATGGCGGGGACCGTCTAGGATATGATCACAAACTGCAGACTTCCCGGAATGTTGGTATTTCCCATCAGCTATGCGATAGAATCTGTAAAAGTAGTTTTATTCAATGTGTAGTGTTCGCGTAAATATAAGAAATCATTGTGTAGCGAGAGTCAGATATAAGTACAAACTATGAGCCTTTTTTTTCTTATTAGTACCTAAGACTTACAGACTGAGGGTGACAACGCATCTGGAGTCTTGTTTTATTGAAATTGTTTACAGAAAGGTGTATTTAACAGTTTGTTTGTTAGTAACTTTCGTGATTAAAAATCGTGCACAAACAGTTGTCTGAACTCAGCTTTTTTAATTATTAATTTTGGTCCGATCTACGCAAAATGAACTTACTGTGTCTTGAAGTAGTAGTGTAGTTGTACCACTTCTAGACCACCTGAGTCAGACGTGGTTCAACGACGTTCGTCGACGCCCGATCCTAAAAAAAAAAAAAAAGAAAAAAAAAGGTTTTGGCATGCTCTGATCACGAATCCGCGGTCCATTTTTGTGTAGAATGCACGGTTCCGGAGATGTGTAGATCAATTAGCTAATATCTAATTGATATCCGGTAAGGGCCTCCACCGTCATTAGCGTCCCATTGTTCCTATTTCTATTGTTCTATTGTTCCTTAATCACCTTCATTGCAGCGTGTGCGTCGACTATATCAGTGCTATTGTGTTATAGTTCTTTGTTTATACAACACTAATCTGAATCATCAATAAAACACATTACATAATTTTGTTACAATTTTTATTTATAAAATACAAAATCTTATTAATTATTATCTATAAAATAGGAGCGAAACATCTCATCCACTAAAATATCGTTGTACAATGTGTTCCTTGTAAATATACTCGTAACATCCTTGAAACTTATATAGTAAATACATTAAGCAATATTCGCCACAAACTGAAGTCCACTCATTCTGAATCCTATCAACATTCCAGTTCCATCTTTTACAATTCCTTTTTAAAAACTCTAGATGATATCGTACAGGTGATCGTCCATATGAATCAAAATATTGACCGACGTCATTCGTATCGATATATAAAGCTACCCAATGTGACCCTGGTTTATCATCTGTATCCAAATTACATATTATATACGTTGGTACGTGGGTATACATAGGCAGTCTATTAGCTGCATAAACATTATTTTCTAGACTGGGGTGAATCTTTTTCAGATGTTGTTGTACATCTAGTGTATCCATGATATTACTGTTATTAGTAGATTATTACAGTACCTAGCTACTCAATGAATAACATAGGAATGGTCAATTATAGTGATTTCTACATATTAAATTGCATTTTTGTGATATACAAATCGTACTTGAGTCATTGATCACCAAACAAAACACAATACGAAGAAATGTTAAGATAGGCAACGGAAATGTGAGATAAACTGATATGTTTCTAAATATTAAATTGCATTTTTGTGTTATACAAATCGTACTTGAGTCATTGATCACCAAACAAAACACAATACGAAGAAATGTTGAGATAGGCAACGGAAATGTGAGATAAACTGGTTGACGCATAAAGTAATTATCAACTCATTACGGAAATACTTTAGATTAGAATTTTTACGTACTGGTGGTATATAAGACCAACAAATGCAGTCATCGAGTTAGTGTACGGTCGTTTGGCTACAGTGGATCTATCAATAGTGCATTTGTGTTACTTCAATACACCAAAGGCTATGGATGTAAGTGTTTATTCTATTGACTAAATTACTTTTTTTCTGTTATTTTCATGTGTGTGTATTATTTTATTTAAATATTGTGTATGTATATGATTAAGCCGTGGTAACTCAGATGGTTAGCGCTAGCTGTAAATTTCACAGTACGCGACCCGGGTTCGATCCCCGCCAGCACCAATTAAATTGTTAATAGCAATTTTAAGTGCTTATTACCACGTGCTTGGTGGTGAAGGAAAACATCGTGAGGAAACCTGCATGTCTGAGAAAATTTCGAAGGCATGTGAAGTTCGCCAACACACATTGAGGGAGCGCGGCGGACATTTCCTTGCTCTAAAACCCTCTCAGAAATGAGAGGAGGCCTATGTTCAGCAGTGGACTTTAATAGGCTGTAACTTTAACTTTTTTAACCTCTATGATTAAGTGTTAACAAATTGATATTAACATGATAACTGTGTTGTTGCAGAAATCATTGAGCTTCGATGAAGATACCTATAAACAGTATTACTACTCGCCACTCTCCCCTCAAGAAGAGAGTGATAACCTCGTCATTAATAATAACACATGCGATGGTGGAAACAGAAAATCGCAATCGATTGATCATTTTTTTGAAGCTGAATCAAAAATAAAAAAGAGGAAGCTGTTATCATCAACCGTAGCACGAGCCGCTAGAGATGGTGTATCATACATTTCTACTAATTCTGACGACGGAGACCAAGCGACGCATCTCATCAAAATTGAAATGTACGATATGAAGAAGCTATCCAAGATTCCAACTACTGATCATTGGAAACATGCTTCCACGAGAATTAAATATTACGTAAAGACTAATAAGGATAGCATCTACGACAACACAAACGCCCTCGTATACAATATAACAAAGACAATAGCAGAAAGTGAAAAAGTTAAAAAATACTTTTTTAACAATGACAGTCATTAGCTGATCATTAGTGAATGTGATTCTGTTTACTTCAATTACAGGAAGACAAGAGCGGAAGGAAGAGATGAGTGTGGCATACGTGTACAAAACACATCATTGAATAACAAAACTACAACACTGAGTGGAGAAGAAAACGAGAAGAGTATGCAGTACTCAAGAGCTGAATATCCATTCTTCAGTTCAAAATCTAGCCGTTTGCTTAGTTTCGAAAACTGGCCTCTAGTTATGCGACAGAAACCTGAAGATCTTGCAGAAGCTGGTTTCTTTTATACTGGCCATGCAGACGGGACCAAGTGTTTCCATTGTGGTGGTGGTTTAAAAGATTGGGAAGATGATAATGATCCTTGGCAGCAGCATGTTCAGTGGTTTAGTCAGTGTGCTTATGTAAAATTTCAACTCGAACAGTGTTTTGTATTAGATTAAATAGAAGATTTATAAAGAAATAAAAAAAAATATATTGCATACAATTTGTTTTATTTAATTTTATAACGTTTCACATAGTTACATACACACAAAATGCATTACACATAACACATAAAATCTAACACACAACACATATTAACTACTATAGTCTACAGTAACATTTCTGTTTTTATCTATCTCAATAATATTATCAAACTCAGCATAAACTATACAGTTAATTGTTTGTATTAATGAGGATTCAAATCGTACTTCTATTCTTACACTACCATGCTTTATGAGATTCCAATGAGTTGATGAGTTAGCTGATAAATCAGGAGTTAAGTCAAATGCTAATAGACAGTAACCTTTGCCATACTGTTCACAAGAGATTCCATTTCCTTCATTAAGAAAGTGAATACCAGTTCCCGAGAATAGAGTATGATATGCTGATGTAAATATGCTATTATTAAAAGATGGTTGCAAAGCTTTTGAAGGTATTTGTTGACCATCAATATATAAGCTGAAAGAATTAATACCATAGTTTTCAAAGTTAAATGGATTTTTAGTAAGGGAACCATTAAATGCAGAATTGTTCACAAATCCAATTATACATCTTTTCGGTACCTGTCCTAAAAATATATTATCAAGAGTTTTTCCTTGAACACCTGAAGGAATTGTTAAAACTTTTACTTCAGCTCGAGTAATAGGATATTTAGCAGTGGTAGAAGCTAAAACTTTTTGATGTGCGAGTAATACACTTGGATTAATTCGTGCTCGTCGCACAATAAGAGTTGCGTCCGTAATGCAAACTTTAAACTTTACATCGTTCGACCCAACAATTAAATTAAAACTCTCTCTTGATCGAACCAATTTAACACCCATTTCAACACCATTAATTAAAAATTTATCTTGGTTAAAAATGTCACCGTGAAGATGACCAATCATTTCTATTTCCTTACTTTCACTAATCAATTCCTGTCTTTTAACAAATCCTATGTTTTTACCATCTGTAGAATCCATTTTTCCTGCTGTATCCTCATACCAAAGACTACAAGTAAGATGAGATTGTTTAGCAGCAGGGGCATAGTTTAAAAGGGTTTCCATGTATGCTCGATATGCATAGGTATTATTAGGTGGTGATACAAGTTTTTGGTTTAAATAAACATCAAGTTGACTAAAAAGTGAATGCAGCCAATTATTTACAGGTGCTACTATTGTAGTAGATACCAAGTTAGTTGAATCTTGATTTAATACTTTTGCCTTTATGTGGAGTAATGTATGAGACAAATCTATGTAGTCATCGCCGGTCCCAGGAACTTGAAACTCGATAGGTCCATCATCACCAAGAGATGAAATTGGTTTATAATGAATCCACAATCCATTTTCAATGCTAGTTTGTGTAGACGGTAGTGCAAACAAATCCAATTCTGACTTAACGCACTCGCAAGAATGATTATGAAGGATAGACATATTTAGTTTGAAAATATATCTTTGATATTTTTTGGTTTTAGACTAAGTTTTTTCGCAGCTTTCACTTTAGCAGTTAATGGTGGAATGAACGATGTCAATCGTTTTCTTTTAGTTTTATACCCAGATCCAGTCATGTTAAATTGATCAATTTTCTCATCAGCCTTTCGTTTTAAATTCGTACTAACTTGCTTTAGACGATCTTTTATTGAGGCTTCCATAGGACGGGCTTGAACCATATCCGATAAAAGTCCTACTCCAGCGCTTAATGCCTCCTTACCAATCACTCGAGCACCACTTGAAAGTAAAGGTAAAACTGATCTGAATAACCCCCCTAAGAAGCTCCCAATACCATGACCGCGTTGATATGGTGAACCCTTATAAATTACTCCAACTCCTGATCCAGCTTGATGTGTATAATAATTTTCATATGGACATTTATGATGATCACGAAGAGAATTCATTATTATAATTTTCGGAAATGTAGTTTAATACACACGGTTCCAAACTGGAATGGTATTTTTTGTCCTGTACTCGATCTTATAACTATTTCCAACGTATCGAACTCTCTTCGCATAACAGGTAAGTAGTGAGGTTGAGAGAAAACGTGCATTTTATTTGCACCATAAATGTATTTTGTAGGATCTAATGAAATGACTCTTAATAAAGGAGTCATAACATCACCCACAATCTGAGGATCGATAATGTCGCAATATAGAAATAGTTGAGATGGTAACCCTAAGTGTAAATTAGCAGGACACTTTCCAAAATTTCTCTCTAGGAGATTTTTATTTGGTTCATAACCTAGCTGTAAACTTAATTTGGGTGATAATGTTACGGATGTTATATTTTTATCCAATACCGAAATAGACACAAATTTTGTTATTTCATCATAGCGAAATTTCAAGTTCTCTCCGATACCATTTAACACTCTTAAAATATGCTCAACGTTATCATAGTTGGTAGCTGGAATATGTTTTTTGTAGTACACTGTGGATGGTTTATCTTCATTAGGCATTAACATAGATTTTGTAATGTATGTTTTAAAAAATTTACTGTTCAAGAACATTTTCATGGTCTTGAACAGTAAACATGGTACATGGATATTGAAACTCGACAACTCCAACCGACCATTCACCTTCTAATTTTATAGCTTTTGGTAATTTCGTTGAAAAATTTGTGGTCTTGTTATCAGGAAAGTATTCCATTGAACTATTGCTGAGCAAAGTTAAATAGAAACTTTCTTTATTCATATTTCTTTTAAACTAGAAGCTAAAATCCAACTGTTAAATTTATCTGGATAACCTTTCCACTTCACTAATACTTCTTTTCTGTTACCTGAATAACGAGTGTCAATTATTTTATCTATTTTATGTTGTGAGGTGGGGTTGTAAGTGATTTTCTGTAATTCTCTTTCATAAAAAGTACCAATTATTGGTTCATTTTGTAAATCTGTTATTGTATAAACAACCCATGGAGATCTATCAATTATTGAAGATATAATAAATATTTCATCACTCCAATTTGATTCATATCCTTTTTGGAATACATGTTTATATTTAGTTATTCGAACATAATCACCCACATTGAAATTTGGTTTAGGATTTTCTAAAGAAAGTTTTTTTGACCGTCTGTCATAAAGATTAGTCCAAACTGTCATAATATTGTTGGAATTTACATCACATGGGCACATCTTAATACTAGAGTGAAAGCTGTGATTATAAGAGTATATTAAATCTTGTAAAACATCTATATATCTATAAGTATTATTATGAGTGAAATAACGCCACACTTTCATTTTTAGTGTTCTTTGAAATCGTTCAACAATACTGGCCTTAATGTCAGGATTGTTAGTGGTATAGTAATTAATCTTTTTGGATTTAAAGTATTTTTGTACATCTTTTGAAACAAATTCGGTACCTTTATCGGATTGTATGTGAGTAGGTGTTAAATTACTTTCAGTAAATATACTTTCAAAACATTCTTTAGTTGTTTCTGAGTTTTTCTTTTTCATTGGTCTTGCAAAAGCATATTTACTAAATACATCAATAATACAAAGTATATACTTGAAACCATCATTATATTGAGAATAAGTTCGCATATCACTTAAATCAGCTTGCCACAGTTCATTAATATTTGATAGAATGTACCTATTACGCGGGAATTTTTTTCGAATGGGTTTATGTAATGTGTATGTTTCTTGTGATTTTAACCATTCCTTTACTTGCTTTTTATTCATTTTACCCTTCATGGCTTTTGATAATTTATCAATACTACCAAAACCAGCGGGATTAGATGGATCATAATAAATCCTGTTAATTTCTTCTAGTACGGAGTCCATTTTTCCCACTCAAGTCCTTTACGTATTTTAGTTGTAGACTTTTTATCTCTACTGCATGGTGTAGAAAACTCTTGAACTTCAATCTCAGAGGGTTTGTTCAGATCTTTTGCTTGAAGTTGGTTAATAAACTCACATCTCCTTGGATTTCCAATATAAGTAAGTGGTACTTTAATATCTTTTAATGCTTCAGCAAATCTAACCCACCCTACCGGATCACTTCTTTTTAGGGGTCTTAGTGAATCATTTATTAAATCAACAATATTACTTCCAGGAATTTTTTCACTATCAATTATGACTGTACCTTCGTTATCCCAATGTATTTTACTTTTACTTGTTTCAACTAAGTTTAATAATAACTGCCCTTTTTTATGATAAGTTTTTGGTATTAAACTGAGTATTTGAGCTGGTGTGTAAAGTGGATTTTCATCATTTTCTTTACTTTTAATGGATCGATTCTCCTCCAGCAAAGATTCAATATCAACTGAAGTTTTTAGATCTCTATCTTTATTTTTAAAACCAATTTTTGACTCATTTGAATCTTCATTAGATGTATCAGAATAAATTGGTAATTTGAGTGGTTGACGATCCTCTTCGGTAAAATGAAGGTATCTTTGCAGTGTTTGTAAATATAATATCCATTTCTTTCGGTCTTCCGTCTTACTATTCATAATATTTTGCATTTCAATATCTAATCGAGATAAATTACTATTAACCTTATTTTCTTGTTTTAATTTTTCAATCAATCCAGGTTCGATAAGTATCATTTTCTTTGCATTTTCCATGTTAACTGGCTAGTCCACTCACTAATCCACTCAATATTGCACCTAATATTGTTGGTAAGAAAGCCCCTCCTTTTTGTATAATTATATTTTTTCTTAGTTTATGTTTACACTTACGTACTAGTTTACGGAGTATGTTTTTATGTTTATTCAATTTTTGTTTATCCTGATCTTTAAGAGGTACTTTTCCTTGTAAAACGTTATGAATACACTCACAAATACAGTTAATTTCTTCTTCATCACACGTTTTAAGTAATGCTCTTTGATATTTTGGTTTAAGCGTATGCAAAGCGGTTAGCAAATGTTTATACGTTGTGAGTCGACGATGCATCATTTAGCAATGATTTCAATTGTTTGATTCTTGGTGTATTTAAACTCTTTTGTGGGGACGTAGACTGTACAGAAACCATTAAATGGAAAGACATTTGTCTTGATACGACAAAAATCATTGGTATTCTGTTTTAAATCTACCATTAAATATCCATGTGCCTCTAGAGTTGCATCCCTGTAGGCATTTTCAATGAATTTTGGGTTATCTGGTGATACTTGTCTTGCTAAATATCTTATTTGAGTTTTATCTCGAGGGTTTTTAAAATATATTATATAACTTGAGTTTAAAGATATGTCTCTTTGTCCTTTACCCTGATGAAATAAATTTTGTGTTAGATAAAATACACTAAGATTCCTGTGATGACTACCTTTTGTAAATATATCCACAATTCTTCCATCGGACTCTCTCATTAGATCATCAATAATAACAAGATGTGGGTTTTCATCATCAAACATATTAAGATTTGGAATTCCTTGATGATAGTTAACATTTGGTAAATTATATAATGGTTGCATTTTATCAAAGCACCATGTGATCTGATTAAAATCACAATTACATATTTCTGTAACTGATTTTATGAAATTTGTTACAAAATTTGACTTCCCACACCCACTTGGTCCTGCCACAATAGCAGTGAACGGATGGATAAAGTGAAACATAACACACGTCTAAAGTTCAAAGGGGTGAAATAAAAAATGAAAGTGTTGGTGTAAACAATTAATATATATTCCAAAAATTATATAAAACAGAATTATCTGTATACTATTTCTAACACAATTAGTACATCATAATTTTACAATTAACTCAACCTCAAATAAATAGAAACAACAATTAGTACATCATAATTTTACAATTAACTCAACCTCAAATAAATAGAAACAACAATTAGTACATCATAATTTTACAATTAACTCAACCTCAAATAAATAGAAACAACAATTAACTTAAATTATTTACAATAAAACAATGTTTAAATATGTAATAAACTACGTCATATTATAGTATTATCATAATTTTACAATCAATATAAATTTTTCTTAAACGCAGACATAAAAGTAAAAACTATCAACACTTAACGCAGTTTATAATGACCCCAAGCTAATGTTTCAATATTATTATCTAAAATATGTCTCTTTGTGTCATTTTATGATAAACCTATCTTATTTAATTTTTGTGTGAAAATTGTGTGTTTAATTGATTTAAATCTAAGCATACTATAATATTGCACTTTTTTATTAAATAGAGAAGACTTATAACTATTCATTGTCATCTTTTTAGTGATACATTTATTTACCCCTTTTGCCTTGGCTATAGTCTTATTCTCTAAGTTAAAAGCGTACATTTTGGATCGTAAACCCACAAATTCTTTCATGATTTTACCATTATTTTCATCTTTAAAAAAACCTAATTTCTTTTTATTTAATTTTGGATATTCAAAAATATTATTTGTATCATAATCTGAGGTATCAAAGTATGATGAAAGGTCAGGTTTTATATCAGTGTAAAAATCATTTGTAAATATATGATATATTAAACTATCCGTATCTGTATA